TGAACTCTCAGACCGAATCAGTTGAAAATCAGGACCAAGATCTTTTATGGTGGTATCTTGTACTACCAAGGTGCCACTTTCAGTTAGAGTGCTGGAGGTGCTGCCTTCTCCACTAGAACATCAAATCTATTCAAGCAGCACAGCTGTGTAACTCTTCTGATCTGGGGCAAAATTGCTCATAGGAAAAGAGACACTTGATGTCATAAGGAAATGTTTAAATCAAAGGAGGCTACAGGACATTCCAAAGAAAAAAGTCTTTTCTAGTTTGTTTGCCAAACTTCACAGATAGAACACTGACAAGATTGACACACAGACATTTTGGTAACTTTCATCTGCAATCCATATGGTTTGAGCTCTACTACAGACAGTTTGTAAGTACCTAGTGGCGTCTGTATCAAATATGAAACAGTAGAGATGCAACAGGGATCACAGCATTATTACAGCTTTAAATTAATGGCTTTTCTAGCCTTTTTCCTTATGTCATCATTAAGAGGAGGTCTGGCACTGTGTGGAATGAATAACCTGTGAAAGACTATTACATGCATTTAAAGAACCCAACTCTGTCGTAACTTGAAAACCTGAAGCATTTAAAACCTTCTGAGATAGCAAGTCATCGGCCCATCAATCATAGAGACAGGAATACCAGACTCGCTGAAGAGATAATGATTCAACAAGGCTTCAGTGATATTTATAAAGATTTCAGGCTACTGAAAGGCTACTACTTACAGGCTATTTTGCTCTTTTAGAGCAGAATTTGCTGTGGAACTCACTAAGAGTGCTGGTACCTCATGTGGATTGAGTGGCATTACCTTCATCACTACTTCTAGGAGGGGATGCCTCCCTGAGAGCAACTGATGTCAGAGGAATGCAAATGAGTGGTACTTCTGTACTTCTGATGTGATGCTGTTGACACGCAGTAAGAAATACAGGCTTTTTCATAGCAGATAATGGAGGAAAAGAATGTACCGCAAATCTAACTGAGCAGTAAATCAGTATGGCTTTCACTGCTTAGACGTGGAAGTTTACAGTAAGAAAACACACTTTTGCTATGCTGACAACCAAGGCCTTCATAGGTGCCTCAGCTGGCGATGTAGCCTGTACAGGCCTCTCACTTCACAAGGAAGCAAGACACAGCATTATTGCAAGCTTTTGCAATGGGATGTGATAGGGCCTTCAGGATGTGCTCCGGGAAACTCAAGCTGTTTTTAGAATGCTTTATGAGTGTGTGAAGATCTAGGAAGGATAAGCACTATCACAAAGGAGAGCTTTTATAATAGTATCCTGTAAGATTTTTTTTTTTTTTCTGGACAACATGACTACAAACCCAGAAAACTCTCAAAATTCACTGAATTTGCTACTTGTTTCTAAGCTGTGCAGAGTTGAAGCTAGAACAGAGCAGGAAATTTCATCCTTTAAAACTTTTATGATACTGCAAAAACATTCCCACAATACATTAAGATGAGTCCAAAGTCCTTTCACAGTTTTGAAATAGACAATGTTGCAATACTCGGGGGTTTAGACTTGTGTTATATCTCAAAGAAGTAGTTAGGGAGTTGCCATGGTTTAGCTAGTCAAGTGGAAGTTGCACGTGAGATGTAAATAGATGGCTACAGGGAAGACTTTGCTCACAAATTCAGCTATTTGTAGATGTCTACATGTGAGCAGTGTCTAGGCATGCGTTACAGTCAGTGGAGAGGTAGGTACATACTGTCAGCGAAGACTAGAGTTGTTTAGGTGAGCAACTGGAAGTGTCTACTCTAGGCTAAGCTGGTGAGAACAAGAGTGTATTTACTGGCTTGAATTAGTGACATAGAGAGCTTGTGCCATTTGAGAAGCCCCGCTGTATCCCACTTGGCTTCCCACTCCCCAGTCAGAAGGTTTTGATCTTCTATAGATCTTGTATCATATCTGGTAGACCCATGTGGATGCCTCAGATACTCCATAGCCTCTGAAGTCACACTAGATATCTATGTTTAAGGAAATGAATCAAGATCACCTACATCACCCAAGTTGGGTATCTTAACCTTGAACTAACTCCAAGAAATGCCCATTCAAACTGTAACAGTGGTGTGATATAGCTGGGAAAAACCGCTGTTAAGGAAATCATTCCAGATCTGCTAGTAGATTGTTATCAAAGAGTAGAAGTACATGAGGTGAATCATCCTGCATTTCAACAAGTCTGATTATGTCTGAACTCATTTAAGTTATAGGAGATGGGAAGTTGGCTCGTGGCCTTGGACAGACAACTTCAGACTGCTGTAGTGAAGGAGGTATTTCTCCACTACAAGACAGCTGAAATAATCCCAGAACAGACAAAAAAGTGAAAGCCTGGCACAAACAGCTAACTGGTCCTAGGCCAAGTCCACAAAATGGAAGTGCACTAGGGTAATACAAAGTCCTGACTGGCTACGAAACTATGTGTCCCAGGTTCCAACCTCTGATGTTCACTGTGGCATCGGTGGAAAAAAAGAGACCAAAAAAAAAAAAAGACAGAAAAAAAGCCTGCTGTCTACACGGAAGATTCTTTTTCTGCATTAACAGTGTAAACCTGATGAATATGACAAGTACCACTGATGAGACATGCCAGACTTCTGGTGCCTTTAACGTCGTCACATCGTGCAGCACAGTAGCTTACAAAAAAAAAAAAAGAAGAAGGAAAAAATAGAAAAAAAAAGTATGGCCACAAAGCAACTCAAGCATATGGCAAGGTTTTGAGGTAAGTGTAGTCCCACAGTTATGGTGTCTGTACTTTTTGGGGAAGACTTCACCTCTCTATTTATTAAGAGGCAAACAGAGTGGTCAGAATGTATTGAAGGTAAGCTGGAAAGAGAACTGAGAACACACTCCTGCCAGTATATAAAAGTAGCGTGTGCCTAACTGAGAAAGCAGTGTTGCTTCTTGTTAATGTCACCTCAGGTTTAATGAGGAAGAGGGGAAAAGCAAAAAAGCAAAAAAAAAAACAAACTGGTGGTAAGCTGGAAAGAGAACTGAGAACACACTCCTGCCAGTATATAAAAGTAGCGTGTGCCTAACCTGAGAAAGCAGTGTTGCTTCTTGTTAATGTCACCTCAGGTTTAATGAGGAAGAGGGGAAAAGCAAAAAAGCAAAAAAACCCCAAAAAACTGGTGCTTTGTTGGCTGAAGTATATATAGAAAATGTTGCAGAGCAGCTGGGTGAGAAGACATGCCCGTTCTCTCTCGTAGCACCACACAGGGAGCCCACAGTGAAATTAAGAAGCAGCACAAATAAAATATATACCGATTCAGGAATAATTAGGACATTGAACTAATTTCTGCAGAGACCGACGTTTTATCTGGACAAAGATGACATGCTTAAACGCAGGTAAACGAGACGCTGGCAGTAGAAGCAGGAGAAAAGATAGAAGTCTCTACGCACTTTGGGGTGTAAGTCAGTCAAACACCAAGGGATATTAGTGCAACATTTCTTGCTTGAGTAGCAGTGCCTGAAGTTAACTCCGAGGAACACCACCGACCCTGTCCCCAGCCCTCTTTTCTGAATGTAACAGGCATTGATCCCTCGGTGAGAGATATCCACACAGAAAAACTAACTTGCTCAACTCAGCAGGGCAATCCCATTATCGTAGCGGGTCACCTGCAGTAAATCCTTAACAAGAGCCCAGCTCAGAAGTAATGCTCATGTATGCCTGGAAATCATATTTGAAATTAATGAGAAACTTCAAAGAAGTCTTAAACTGAAGGAAAAAAATTTTATAATCTGAGAAGACTTCTTTTCCTCTGCCCTGACCTCCCAGGTAATAACCCGAATTTGATAAAGCTTTGTGAACAAAGGACACCTAAAAAAGAGGGCTGGGAAGTCCAGATGCACATTAACAGAAACTTCTGCAAGAGCAACAGACTGATGGGACTATGGCCCCCTGTGAAAACATCTCATGTCTCTATCAGCAGGCATTCAGGTAGGTTCCACCTCCCAGGAATTAACTACACTGACAGCAGGGGACACTACTTACCTCACCGTTCAAGAAGCAGTAAAATACTGACACAAAGAAACCCTGGAAAGAACAGAAAGCAGTCAGTTACTAGGTAAATATTTTACCATGCAGAATCAGGGACGGAGCTGTATCCTGGGATCATTCTGAGCAAAAAGACAATCTTGCTGAGATCACCCGCTTCCAGACAGATTACACCTTCACCCTACAACTTCATGAGAAAATACTAAACCCCTTGCAGCTCACAGGTGAGACGTAAGAGCTAGAATCTAGGCAGCTCTTCCACTGACGGAGGGGATTGCCACCTCAGCTGAGCTAAAGCTTTGCTGCAGCTTCCAGCTGCCTCCCCAGCGTGGCACAAAGCCCTCACAGAGCCATGTCACGCTCGCCCGCGCTGTGCAGATGTCTCGGACACCGCAGCGGGGTGTCAATCGGCCTTAGACGATCTTGTGTGGGCAAGTGCATCATCAGGTTGCTTATGTTCATCTGAGCTGAACTGGTCTGCAGAATCTACTGACCGCAGTCACTAGACTCCCGTAATGACTGCAGAGATTGCGATGGCTGTAATGGAAGCTCAGATGACAACATGATGACACTTTCATCTCTAAACCTGCGAGCGGAGTCGTACCCATTTTGCTTTCAGCAACGGACTACAATTATTGTCACCATAAAGGAGAGATTCCCTGTGCTTTCTTTCTTACGTATGTCTTCATAACACTAACAATAAAATCAGCAGTGTAGCATTTTTGGAGACACTAAGCATCAGCAGATAAAAAATACAATTAATTTTAGGGAAAGGCAAATGTGGATTGGTTCACTAAAGGGTAAAGTTCCTTTCTTCATAGATTAAAAGGATCATTTTTCTTTTAGGATATTCAGTTTCGATTTCTGGTGGGATGCACTGTGTTTCAAAGCTAAACATGCAATCAGTAAAAATGGTAATCCAAAGCTCCAAACTTTGGTAATCTGTAACCCTAGATCTGGCTTGACAGCGTGTGTGCTGTGTGTTTGTATTGAATATCCTGAGTATCAGAGTGCTTGCTCCTGCAGATAATTAGAGGTAAAACATTCATGTCAAACATAGTTCCACCCCAGTTTAAGAAGGTCTTTAAGCAGAGGTAAAGCTGTAGGACACACCTATGCTCTCTCCATTGATTTTAGATGGAGCCCAGGTGAGGAGCTGTAGCTATAAACTGAACATAGTGCTAATGTTAAGGGAGATGAATCCCTCTGGTACACACCTGAGCGGAGCTCTGCACTCCATATATATCTATTACATAAGCATGAACAAACCTGAGCTCTTTTCAACTATTATTTTCATCATGGATGTCACTGCCATAAGATTCATGGCTGAAAAGCACTGAGGATCCTTTCTGCAGTAGATGATACCAGCTGTAAACCTGTTCTCTTACCTGAAAAGACTGCAGGAAGGAATTGAAATAGATGAAGACGATCTGAGAAATGTCATCTTCACCGGGGTTGACAAAGAAAAGCATATAGGTGATGCCTAGCAGAGGCAGAAGAACTAATGTTGCCTTGACTGCCTTCCTGTGGGGGATGAAACAGAAACACAAGTCAACACAAGAAAGAAAAACTGTGGGGGCATTTGCTGAGAAGAGCAATGGAATTCTGTACTTGCACAATAGCCAAGTAACTTGAGCTTTTTCGCAGGAGGACATACGAGTTTTAGACAGTTCTCAGCCTGCCTGCACAGGAACAGACCCGAGGTTCTTGATAGCTTACTGCGTAACCCAAGATGCGGGCTCCGAGGGTCCTCAGGCAATGAAGAACACAAGTTTCTTAGAGCTTGGGAAAGGATATTTAAGAAGGAGTCTGATCCTATGTCTGAAAGGCTGAATAGAGTTTAGTAGGGGAGCATGGAAAGAGAGACAGCCTCGACTTTGGGTTGTGAAGCCACAGGTGAACTGCTGGTTAACGCTTTCTGACCAGTGCCTGACCAGTTGGAGTTGGACAAAGGTGTTCAGGGGAAGCCTTTGCCTTTGAATCCTGCTGTTTGTCCTCACATTCTGAACTCCAGGGGAGAAACGGGAACCTTTTTTATATCCCTCCCGTTCCCTGACTTTTTCCTCCAGACAGTTTCTGTCCCAGCAGCGAGGCTTGCATTAGGTTGAAGCCTCAAGATTCTCTGCAGGCTCGGTGAGTGATTTCTTACATCTCAGGGTGATGTAATACATGCGCAATTTAGCTGCTGACCAGGGCAGGAAAGCTGTGCCCATGAGACCTGCTCTGTGCCCATCTTTTGATTCTGTCTGGAGTGTAAATGCTCTCTCCCTGCAACACCTGCACACCCAACACAACTGCTTATGGCTGTCTTGTAAATAATAAACAAGCAGATGGTGCACAATGAAGCGTAAGTGATTATTAACAGAATTATTAGGGGTTAATCTTTATTATTGGTGCTATAATAATGTCTTGGGATGTCAGCTGCAGAACTGCACCTCATTGTGCTAGACACTGTACAAACACGGAGGACTGCAATTTTGCTAAGTCTGTATAAATCTCTGTATAATGCCATAACAGGTAGATAAAGACAGGCAGGCAGGGGAGCACAAAACCATTGCCAGTGTCAGGGTATAGACTGTCAGGCTTAACAACGTAGCTGCCACATCATTTAATTACTCGCTTAACACAAGTTTGGACTACTCAGCTTTAGAGCAGCAAGGCTTGCCCCAGGCTTTCCTGCAATTATAAGGGTTTCTATTTAGTCTGTGAAAAAGAAGATTCCCTCACAGAGCTTGTAGCGAGGGTAAGATCACCATCATCTGTTCAAGGATGAAGGCAGTTACTTTAGATTGCCTCAGAATCGAATATCTTTAATGCTCCCTGCAAACTGCGGCAGGGGGGAAACTGTGCTGAGATTTGAATCAGTTTTTTTTCATGCTACTTTTAGTTTTATGGCATGAGGTTTGAGTATGAAAAAGGGGTATTTTTTCCTTTCATCTCCCAGGAAATGTGCAGAGAAGAGTCTGAACAAGAAAATCATACCACTGCATTAATTTCACATTTGTTCCCAAATCCCAGACAAGAGTAAAAGGAAGAAACCAGGCAAAACAACAAAACCTCATTACTGCATCAAAACTGCCTCCCAAAGTCAAGATCAGGCTAATTTGAGGACATCAGAATTGAAGCCTCAGCTCAATACACTGAGATTTTATCTAGAAATGATTTAGAGGATTTTGACCAATCTTACTCCACAAAACTTGTGCCATTTCCCAGTCTGTCCTGGACCTGTCGGTCCATAAACACTCCAAAACTCTGGCCTATCTTGCGCGATACTGCAAATGATAGGGCAGGAAGGGCACTCAGAATCTCCTAATCTCTAAAAATTTGCTTTTAGACTGTTTAGGCTGATCTAAGTCCGTACTGCTGCTTGAAGAGGCCAGGCCACCTTCCTTCTGCTGCCCTGGCATAAGCACCCTTGTCTTCTCCTTTCTGCCATACTAGTTCTCGTGAGGTTGCACAGCCAGCCAGCTTGGGGAATGGATCCACCTGAGAAGCCACCCCATGTAAAGGTAATGCTTAGCTAAGGATCAGTTCCGTGATGCAACCCACTGAGTGGTTACACTAATGCTGGTACCAGCTGAAGGAAGGGGGCACAATGGCCATTCCCACAGCCGACACTTTATAAAGACATCAAACCCTACTGTACTACCTGTATGTGCACAGTGACCATCAGTAATGAGACTGCTCTTGATCACAGGTATGATATCGATGTTTTAGAATTAGTGAATTGTAGAATCTTTGTGTTGGAAGGGACCTGTAAAGGCCATCTAGTCCAACCGCCCTGCAGTGAGCAGGGACATCTTCAACTAGAGCAGGTTGCTCAGAGCCCCGTCCAACCTGGCCTGGAATGTCTCCACGGATGGGGCACCTACAGCCTCCCTGGGCAACCTATGCCAGGGTTTCACCACCCTCAGTGTGAAACATGTCTTCCTTCTCTCTAGTCTAAATCTGTCCTCTTTTAGTTTAAAACCATTTTTGGCCCAGGCTCTGTACTTCTTTTACTTCTGGCTCTGCCAGGATATTATTATGGACAAGGATCTTAATACACATATGCACATGATTTATTGGGAAGTCTTGTTCTGCATCTATGAAGCTAAAGGCTGGGACAGAGAAGTAACCTAGCAGAGACTCAACAGTTTTTCCCTGATTCTCCATATTAGCTAAATGAATGGTCTAGTCATCAGTCAAAGGAGTCACAATTTATTTATATCACATAATACATCTGCTTGTGTACACATAGAAACTGATAAAGTTCCTACCCTCACTGGAAATTGAACCCTTCAGATTTCATTGGATGGGGGAAACTTCACCTGCGTGTTGGGGCATGCACAAGTCTGGAGGAGGCGAACATGCTGGTGGCTGCGGCGGTGCACGTGTCTCGGTGCCGGTAAGCCTGGGCTGCTGGCATTGTTTGGACATTGAAATGGAGTGGACAGCAAAAATGGACGCATGCTTTTATGGGTAGCCTGCAAAAATAAATACTGTGTACCTAACTACGAGCTCAAGGGGCAAGAAGGACAGCCTCTGAGATTAACAGCGGCATCTGGAAAGACAAAGATGGGACAAGGACTGGGCAGGCAAGGCAGCTCTTTGTTAACACCACGAAGAGCAAGAAGGACCAGCTGACTTACCTGTACTGTATTGTTTCTGAAGTGGTTGAAGCTCTCAGCTTTGTCATTAAAATCCTAACTATGTTAAATAGAAATACAAAATTTATCTGGAAAAGAAGGAAGAAAGAGGAAAAAATAAGACCAGTGAGTCAAACAGTGGCTTAAAGGATGTGATAGACCTTAAAAGGCACATTTTACAGTTACAATCAGATTGAAAACAGCCTCTTGGTTTTACCATTGATTGCAACAAACTCAGAAGTTCACCAGAAATATCAGATTATGCAGCAAATATCCAACACCTATTAATGTTTCCAAAACAGCAAAAAATAGAGTACAAAATTAATGGTCCCAGCAAGGAACTTATTGTTACTCCCTTTTACTCCTTTCCTGGGCGCCGCAAAGAACTAAGGGTGGGATTTGTTTGGCTGTTCGCATCGGTCTCGGGCTCGGCTCATCCGAGGCTCCCCGCGCAGAGGGAGCCTGCGCTGTGCGGGGGGCACGGCAGGCGTTGGAAACCACCCTCCCGCTCCACAGCGGGCTGTAAGGGTTAAGTAGTGCTCCCAGACCCGAAGTGCCAGACTGCATTGCAGAGACCCGAACGTGAGCCAGTCACACTGGACTCCCTTTGTATTCGGTGGAGGCTACGGACTGCGCTCCGCAGGAGACATTTAAAATAGAGCAGATGAATCATACCTGATAAATGACCGTTTTTTTGCACTGTCTTTAAAGGTGAGATGATGGATTTACCACTTCACTTTTTAATCTGCTGAGCTAGGTAATTATTATTTCTCTTACAATCTCACCACTGAGAATTGAGATTTGCTCTAATTACTGTTGTTGTAGCATCTGCTAGCGAGTTTCTTACATAAGTTTCCTCCCAGTGTAAACAGGAAAGGAAAAAAAAAAACCAAACAACCTGAAAAGAAGATTCTGAATGTGGGCTGTGATCAGCAGAAGGATTTGGCACTGAGGAGCAAGTTTTGGGTTGCTTTCAACACATAAAGTAGGGTAGCTTACAACATACAGATCTGTCTCAAAATTGTCAGTGATGGACACTGTCAGAATTTCGGAATTGTTATCTCAGGGTTGCTGAGCTCAGAACCTAAGCTTGTGAGAAGATATTTCTCCCACACACATTTCCAGGGTCCCAGGGCTCCTGGCATTTTGCAGCCTACAAACAGAACAATTCCCGGATTGACTTCCAACTTTTTATGAACACTGTAGCAGAGCTGCCAATTTAAAGGTGTTCTCAAAACATGCTCTTTTTTTTTTCCCCATGCAATATGCTATATTTCAATGATGACAGTATCTTGGCATCCATCATATCATTCCCTGCGGTTACTGTAACATGGTTTCTAACAACTGGTACAATAAGCACCTGAATAGACGCTGGCAGTGTTGGGAATTATGTACATTAAACACTTATTATGGGAGACAGAAAAATGCTGCTCTAGGAGTTAACATATGACATTTTTTGGAAATTATTTTTTTAGCAGAGCAGGGCCTTAGGGAGTATAAGAAATAAATAAAACAGTGCAGTTTATATACTTGTTCATATTAGAATTGCCTTTGTCATGTAAGAGCTTGAAGTCAACTGGTTCTCACTTCATTTATCAGAGACAAAAACTGCTTCATATCACTGGCTTGACTGGAATCTTAAGCTCCTCACTTTGGTGATTGCACCATTCCTCAATATCAGAAAATGTTCGGGCAGTGTCTACTGAGGGCGGTGTGGCTGTCCTTCACTCATAGAAAGAAATCTTCCACCTCTGAAATTCTGCTGCCAAACTTGAGGTTCTTCGTCAGCTCTGAGCCAGGGTTGGGTTACTTCTCTCGAGGATGCAAAAAAGGCACCAATCCAAAACGTGCCACTTTTGCAATTATAATGGAAGGTGCCAGATGGGATTATAGACTCTTAGGCAAGGATGAGTTCCAAAAGACTAATCACACGGGATTAGCATGATGAACTGGACTGCAGAAAGCATTTCAAGTTTCATGAGTCCTACTTTGATGTGACAGCAAGGAACTGGAAATTCAAATTGCCACGGGCTGCATCAGAAAAATTTTGATCTTCTCTGAAAGTAAATTGCAGAAGTGTGATTCATCAGTCCAGAAGGAGAATCGCAAGCTGAAAAATTTGGGAGTTACTTCACTAGAGATACTCTTATTCTATCTAACTCGATTTTTCATTCTCCCACCCTTTCCCTTAAGCTCTCCCACCCAAGGGTTGCAGAAGGAAAACAACGATGACATATAGAAAGGATGTATTGATACTTCTCACCTGGACTTCCATCTACGTTTGCACTGGTCCCCAGCGACAGCTGGCTCGCTCATCTGGTTGGCAGCACTAACGCCGATTGTCTCAGCTGACGCTCCCTGCGCGCCGGGTACCGCCAAAAGCTGGGCACCCCCACGGAGGCCACGTTCAGGGGGACAATCCAGCTCCCCGGGCGCAGACCCCAGCCCCGTTTGAGGCGCCTGTGCGTAGCGGAGGCCTGTCAGAGGCATGGCGGCACGTGCCCCGGGGCTGGTAAGAGACCACGTCTGTCTACAGCGGCGACGGGAAGGCAGACGCATCGGTGGTCGCTTCTGACGAGCCGCCAGGTGCCAGAGGAAAGCCTGCGAGGGACGTCGTAATGCTTGCTGGGAAAGAGGAATGCTGAGGCCGGGATAGGGCCATCGGCCGCTCGCCCCGAGTCCTCTTCCTATTCTTGCCTTGAATATGCTGCACATCCTCAGGCACATGGGCAGAGTTCAAGCCTGTGGGTCTGCAGACAGACGCTAAAATCCACCTGAGGACGTACTCGGGAATCTCAGATTTGCATTTCAGAGTGACTGTCACCCTGTCTCTTCCGTTAATGTTTGCAGTCACGTACTTGTCAACAAGGGGGATGGTCTTGCAAACATCTTATACTGTTTTCCTTCTGTCATTCTGGCAGAGCTCTCCTTTGCTGTGCAGTCTTTCAAACGCTGGAGAGGATGCTTTAGGTCTCATGACTGCAATAAAACTGAGTAGTCTTGTAGACAGCCCTAAGGTAGTTATCTACCCCTGAGCTAGTTACCACCAGCTCCTTTAATAACTGATGGAGAAAACCAGCTACTTTTACATTATAGTTCCTCCTGTCTATTTGAGATGCTTACCTCAGCAGGAGATGACTCTCCATTTTGAAGTGCCTCTTTATGTGACCTGCACAGACAGACCTGTTGGGAGGACCTATACTACAGGGATGTATCACAGGGTTGCATTTAGTTGCCTAAACACGGTCACAGAGAGCTGGTTTCGGTGCCACGGTGTATCCTGCTTGACCTCAACTACTCCTTCAGAATGGCATGGGCTTTCTAGAGGGTCTGTACCTTCTTTGGGGCTGACAGAGCATCTGAGAAGGTACTGTGCACCTATGTTTAGGCAAAAAGTTGTCTCCTCCAAGTTAGATTAAATACATCCTACCTTGACAGTCTTAACATTTCCCAATGGAACAGCTGTGAATACAAAGTCACACTGGTCTTTCGAAAAGCATGAAGGAACAAAAGAAGACTTCTTTGGCTAATGGCTGGCTGCCTTAACCCATCTGGCACTTTGGTGCTACAGTAATAACTATAATTTACAGAAAATCCATCCCACTGCTCACCCAAGGCTCCAGAAACACTGATCCCAAATTCCACTTTATCTAACTGCAGAAACAAATTCAGACCTGGGAACTTTATTTCCTGTTCTGATCCTCATAAATGGCTGCTCTGAAAATAGCAAAACTGGATCCAAACACCTCTGAATTCCTAAGGAGGGTCCCAAGTTTAAACTGGTCTGAACTCCAGACCGGATATTTTCTCACACAATCAAAATTTGGTCTGCCTTTCCCTGCAAACCAAAGTCTTGTTTTTTTAAAAGGGCTGGTAAATGGGACAGGGGCAAGCAGAACATCCTGTGCTGGCTGGAAAAATGAGTCATATATATCAGCCCAAGAGATGATGGCTGGGACTCAAAGAGGATCATCAAGTCAGGGGAATCCTATGGCCTTTTTTATGCATCAGGTAAGGTTAGAAAAATCATTCACATCTCCTTCTGGCTTTAGAATCTATGAATAATATATTCATAGGCTCTTTCAAGGCTTGGTTTTCCACCTTGTCACAGGCTTCTTTCCACAGCTGTTGCTGCACCAGGACAGGACATGAGCGCAGCCTTTGGCTTGTTATGCACAAAGCTCCTGTTACTGGCTTCATCCCACAGGCTTCTTCAGGAAAAAGAATAATTAATTCTTCCCCATTCTAGATTAGCTACCTAAGAGAGAAAAGTGAAGAGACTTGGCCGTGCCTTATAAATGGATTCCATCAGGCAGTGAGGATAAGAAGAGTAAAAGCATAAGGAGCTGAGTTGGATTGGCATAATTCCATTTTAGATTACTTCTAGGCAGCTGGTTATCCCAGGCTCTATTAATATTCAGTGGAGACAAACAGGCATTTTTCAACAGTCGTTCATTTGACGTATTTTAAATGAGCGTTTTTGGACAAATAGTGCTTGGACTTGAACCCGTTGCCCACACAAATCATCCAGTGATCTTCAGGTTGTCCAGGGGTATCACACCCGAGTTTCAGCTGAATGAATGTGGCTGTATCTACTGAGGATCTGTTACATTATATTATATGAAAGCTTAAAAAATGTTTTGAAGCAGCAACATCAAGAGTTCCTTTTTGTCTCTGTTAAGGTTTCTCTGCGAGATCTTTGAGCCTTGAATAGGATAAACTCTCAAAGGCAGAGCTTAGCAAGCAAAAAATTCCAAGGCAAACGATGCAAATGTGGTAACACCAAAATACTTGTTTCTGGGTTTCCTACTAGAAATACATTTCAGTGTGTTCAGTTTTAATGAGTTCTTTTAAAGGGATACTCCTTCGTTTCAGAAAGACATTTGGCTCAGTAGGACCTTTTAGTAGCTCTCAAAGAGGTCTAATCTGAAGATCAATTTTCACTGCATAATTCGATGGATTTTTATTGCCCATTTGTCCACATTTGGCCTGATACCACAGCTCAAGCTCTGATAGCCTGAGTTTGTTCAGGACAGAATACACAAACTGGGAATCAAACAGGGAACAGGCTGCTGCACACAGCCTGCAA